AAGAAATGCAGCCTTAGTGAGCAGAAGAGACTTCTTTCAAAAACATTAAAAAATCTTTATGATGAAACTTTTGACCATGCATACTGTATATCTATATCATTATATTTATACCGATTATATATACAATCAGATTAAATGCATTACTTTATAGACTTGTTATAGCACTTGCATATCATTGCTCTTTTGTTGATTTTGATTGCTTCCATTGTCCTCATTTGTAAGTCGCTTTGGATAAAAGCTTCTGCTAAATGACTAAATGTAAATGTAATATTTTATTAAATAAATTATAATATTAATATAATATTTGTTAAATTCATAAATAAGAAAATTGATTTTACAAGAGAACATTTTAAAAGATTACAACAAGTTTGTATGATCAAATGTGACACCGAGTTTTTTACCAAGTCACATTTTCATTTTGAAATTCATAAACATATCAGTCTCATTCACGACATTAAAGGCAGGGTATGTGATTTTTCAAAAACACTTTAGAAAACTGATTCGGGCCGAATCGCAAAACAAACTTGTAGCCAATCAGCAATAAGGGGCGTGTCTACTCGTGATGTGGAGGAGAGAGCTTTCAGTGCATGGGACGGACATTAGCCGAGCCGGGCGACAGAGAGATAGAGATGGCGGATAAAAAACAAAAGAGGAAAACGTCTGCGGAACGATAAGGCAAGAAGTAGGACCCGTGTAAATATCGGATCAGCTTTCCAGCGCTGGAGAGAACTCAAGGAGCGGAGGCCTGCGATCGGACGCTGAGGTTGCTTTGTTTCTTCTCAATAGGTGAGTAACACCGTGTCTATAACAGCTAAAGTCTGCCTACACTGGACGCGATCAAACGACTGTTGAAAACCATTTGAAATTTGTGTCAGCACGTCATAAATAGAACCTGGCAGCAGTTTTGTTTCGGGGATTTGTTGCGCCGCACCGCTCACGTCCGTAGACACGGTGTAACATTGGTTTTGCTTTGTTTCACAGAACTAATCGTTGCCTGGGTTGCGTACGTATATGTGGGGCGGAGCTATCAAAATAGGGGCAAGACCCTTTTGGGGTAGGGGCCTGTTTGTTTTGGTGATTTCAAATATCAACATTGGCTACCAGAAATCCCTTACTCTGCCTTTAAAAGGCAAATGTGTGTGCTGCTAACAGTGTAAGTGGAGTGAGCCCCCTGCTGGTTGAAACTTTAAATGGCCACATACCCCCAAAATGTACAGTTGCCACAGAGATAGATGTGATCCATGAGCTTGCAGTCGCTGTGGTTGCAAAGTAGTGTTGGATTTCTACGAAGAACACACCGAAGGACTTGATTACTCCGAACGTCAGCCCAAAGACAAGGAAGGTGGAAAGCACTATGAACCAGCCATAGCCTCCATCCAGGGGACCTGCAGGCTGAACTGTTCGGCTCTTCCTTTGTAGTTCCATTGGAAGCTCAGGAGAGAAGTTCAAAGCATCATCTGCAATCTAAAAATGAGATACAGCATACATCAGACTATTTTTACATCAGTGGAATGCATAAATCCACACTGCCTAGTCAGCACTGATGTTCTCTGAGCTCAGTAACACATGAGACGAAAGTGATATAATTCATCAATTATTACCTCTAAATGTCAAAACAGCTGAAGAATGATTAACTACTACAAGCTGTAATCATATTATACAACACTGAACTTATGCTGTGTGCACATGTGTTTATCTATGAGGAAATGAATGCGTAACCTATGTCAAACCTATGATTTTAGGACACCCTGTAAACTTGTTTTCGCTTGGCCGTCTGTATAAGGCCAGCACACATAAACAGTGAGAAAACTAGTTCTTTTTTACCGCCAGAAGCAAATGTTAACAGTCAGCGCTGAATCAGTCAGCTGAACGTAGTTGGAGTTGATGGTGGTCTCTTTCATTATCCATATAGGGGTGGTTTCTAGAGCTTGTTTTCATGTTTCTCTGTCCTGTTTTATGTCCCATGTGTTTATGTATAGGTGTGAAGAGCTAACAGCATGTCATGCAGGAGAGAAGTTATCACTTAGGACAGGTAAACACATGATGACCTGTATATCACCCCCACACATAACATGAAACGTAGGAATGCCATGTAGGACAACACAGAAACCCACTGATGATTTTTTTGCCATATTATTTTTTATGTTATTTTGTGCATTTTCTTTATTTATAGGTTATCATCAGGGTGATAACTGGAATAGATAGAGCGGGACATTCTGCCCCCCAGTATTCATGATAATTTTAGGCTGTTTTTGTGTGTAAAATACAGTACAGCTATTTAATCTATTTTCAATGTGAAATTTAAATGGTCAAAAAACATTATAAAAACAAATCTAAGTGGAACACCTTGCTATTTCATATAATATATATTTTTTTATCATGAAGCAATCATTTAAAATACAATAAGCATCTATATTCTGAATTTAATCACAGAAGAAAGGGTTGCAGGGTTATTACATTTGCAAAACAAAACATGATCTTACCTCTCATGGTGTCTGCCGGCTGAAAAGACTCCTCATTCCCACTTCCATGTTCTGCCTGGCTCATCTTCAGTGACACTGCATATCCATGCTACTGTACACAGAAATACAAAGGTCAGCACAGGGAACAAGTAGGAAGTGGGAGGTAACCTGCTATTTCAAGAGGGAGAGATTTGGGAAAAGAAAGTAGAAATTGTAGTATTATTATTATTATAAAAAAAATAATTTTACTGTATTTTCAAAAACAAATATAACTTATTTACAACTTTACATTATATTATATTAAAATTCTTACTTCTGATAAAACGGTGGTGCATTTCCCGATAGTCCTCTATATTAGAGCATGTAAGAGAGTTTATCTTGTTATACTGCAAAAGTTGCACAACTACTCTGGCCGAGCCTCACTGGTCCAACGCCCAAATGATCTCTGGACCTGAGCATAAATAAGCTGTTTTGTAAATGAATTACTCTGCACTGTAATGTGCAAAGCACATCATTCTCTAGAGCATAATAACAAGATGTGCCGAAATTAATTTTATCACTTTATCACCGAAATCACTTTTATACCCTACCCTGCTAGGTTGAATATATCTTATAATACAGTTCGCCAATAGAAGCAAATTAACAGAGAAACACAGCCTCTTTATATAATTTTAAACTTTCCTTATGATAAAATTGATGAGACTTCTGGTGCATTCAGCACTTCAAAACACGTTTTACTAGATAAGCTAGAAATGTGCATCATGGGATAGCATCTAAATTAACTGCTTTTATTCAAGTCAAACATGCAATTTATAACTGAATACTTAAGCCAATACCAATGAAAATTATTTCTAAGGATCCGATATAAAAGAAATGGGTAAAAACTGCACTATAACTGATCAAGAAAAAAGATATGTACAGACATCAGCTTTTTTGATAGACTCTAATATGGTACATAATTCCTTTTCATTCTTTTCTTTTCATTCTCATTCCTTTTCACTCAGTAGCTCACAAAGTGCCTATAGTAGGATTTTGAAGATGAGATGGAGGGTTTTTGGGTAAACCTTTGACCTCCAAAGAATTTGATATGCTGTTTGTAAGTTCAGTGCTCAGTAATCCTGCCTAATTGTGTTTCAAATTAGCATCGTCCAAGGTCATCATATAGGTCATCGAAACTAGTCTGGAAAAACATTCAGAAAACCATTTTTATCTAGGTGCAAACCTGTAATCTTGAACTACTGACACTCTATTTCAACTAAAATTGATGCATAAACAGTACTTTACCCTGAGAACCAAAAGCAGTTCAGTAATAGCCTGAATCTCATCTCTCAGCCACTGCTCTGAGTTCATTGATTAGTGGAGGTCATTTAAGCTTCCTCTGATGTTTGATCTTCACTGCTTAGAGCAAAAAACCAAAGTGTTTTGAAAAACAAATTAAAAGGAAGGAAAATTAAATAAGCTCGGGGGGCCAATAAAAAAACTTGTTTCATTGATGTTCTCCCTCTCCCTTTTTATGCAGGTAAAGTAGGAAGTGTTTCCTAAAAGGAAGGTTAAACTGTCAACTGTGCATAAAAATGGTCAGCTTCAGATTCATTCAGCTGTAATTTTTGGCTTCTGGACAGGCACTTACACACTATTCATTATGAAATAGATGGTGAGTAATATTACAGAGATGCTAAAATAAAGCTAAAAAAAAGAAGTGGATAGTAAAAAAGTACATCAGACGTCTTCAGCTTCCAAATAGAAGAACCAAAAGAATGCTGGTTGCACAACATGCATGTTAAGTGATATGTTAATGTGACACATACATGATAATACATATTATAATGCCTTCATCTGCCATAGCTAAACTGATTTCAGCACTGAAAGTCATAAAATATATGTAGACATTCTCAGATATATTACTGAAACCGAAACGTCATAATAAACTGCACTACGTCTGTCCAACTGTCTTCTGTCTGAGCGATAAATATCAACTTAATCATCAACTTAATCATCAAGCACTACATAATAATATGACATAAGCAGCCGCTTTCAAGAAATATACCGCTCAATTGTTAGTAGCATTTTATGCTTTTTTAGTGGCATTTTATATTCACCAAAGCTGCATTTATTTGATTAAAAATAAAGATGATTAAAAATATTATTGTATTTAAAATAATTTTCTATTTTAAAATATATTAAAATGCTAAATCTTAGCAGCAATTACTTCAGTCTTCAGTGTCACTTGATCCTTCAGAAATCATCCTAATATGCTGACTTGATACTTAAGAAACATTTATTATTATTTTTATGTTAAAAACAGCTTAATATTTCTACGAAAACCGTAACGTTTAGGACTATTTGAAAAGTTCATAAAACAGCATTAAAAAAAAAACAGAAATCTTTTTGTAACATCAATTTAATGCACCCTTTCTCAAAAGAAAGTATTAATTATTAATTTCTTAAAAAAATGTTTACTGACCCCAAACTTTTGAATGGTATTTCTTGAATATAGAGGCAGAGGGATAACTAACTAACTAACTAACTAACTAGAGAAACGTATCTTTTTCGATAAACAGCAAAAGGTTAAAATAACATATATTATGCTCACATGATCAGCTATAAAGTTAAATGATGCATGTCCTGTTTAAAGCTTCATAGGTTGAACATTCTCTGACTAATTGCTGGTCCAGTCTTGGATGAAATCCAATTAAAAAGAACTTTAATAACCAACCAACTGTCAGCAAGTTAGTTATCGAATATTGTGCAGTGCCTGATTATCTGTGATCTTTTACTTTCTGGACTCTGCATCAGACTACCCTTGGTCAACAGACCTTGGCATCTTGTTTAATGATTTCATATTCCAGGCATGAATTTTGACACGTCTCATAAAGTAAAAACTGACAGTAGCTTAATCAGACTGATTTTCATGTTACTGGATATCACAGCAGGGATGAAATAACTTTCAGATTAATCTCTGTTTGGGTGCCGTGACCCACAAGGTGTTAAACAGAAGGTTAGCATTAGCTGAGCCGTGGATCATTCATCATAATAAGGTCTTTATGTTCAGGATCCCTCTCATAGGATGAAAATGTGAATAGACACTAATTAGATAACATGGTCAAGATAAGTTAAGTATTAAGCCTCCAAATGGTTCAGAACAATATAAGATGCATATTGTGGGGGTGGAATAGCATGTTATGACGTTGAACTGTATGTTTTTACATTGTCATTGCTAGAAGGGCATTCTCTTCTGGCAGTGCTTCCACTTCAGTGGCTTTCACCCAAAAAGCACAGGTGTCTCTGCACTTACCCAGATGGCTTTGCTGTTGATTACAAAACCTGGGTATCACGAAAAGATGAGAAGCCAGCCATGCAGGATCTCATTGGAATATAAAGATCATCTAAATCACAATTCCACCGAAATTGCTCTGTTAGATTACTATCTCTGGAGCTTCTGTTACAAAGCATATTCTTCCAGAACGAAGACAGAATGCACATTATTTTTTCTTGGATACAAAGTTGCCGGGCAATTCTGGAGATAAATCAAAGTAAATCGAAATGTGGTGTGGTTGTTTCAAGTAATACATTTCTCTTTGTTTTTGGATTAGCTGTCCCACTAGCAAGCTTATTATAAAATGCGACTTGGGACTTAAAGGAATAGTTCACCCAAAAATTTAAATTTTCTTATGTTGAACACAAAAGAAGATATTTTGAAGAATTCTGAAGAACCAAACAGTTGTTGGTCCCCATTGACTTCCAGAGTAGGGAAAGAAATGGACGTCAATGGGGATCATCAACTGTTTGATTACCAGCATTCTTCAAAATATATTTTTTTATGTTAAACATAAGCAAGAAAACTCATTCAGGTTTGGAACAACATGAGGGTGAGTAAATGATGACAAAATTTTAGTTTTTGGGTGATCTATTCCTTTAAAAGACTTGACCAGTCTATTCCAGCTAAGAATACTGATTTAGAACAGTGGAAAATTGGTATAGATAGACATGGATTCTCTTTTTTTGTGAATTTAAACAATATTGGCATCTTCAAAATCTTTTCTGTATAATTAGTAGCCTATATCAGAATTCAAAATGAACTGAGAAATTTAGTTTGGTTCCTACTTCAAATTGAATGTAAACAGAAGTAACAGACAGAAAGTAAAATTTAAGGAGAATTTGAATGGAATGAAATGCATCTACTTTAAATGAACTTTGTCATGCATTTATATCTCTGTTGAGCATGTTCCCAATTCCCAGTTCTTACATTTAAAGTCTTTAGAAGGTACACTTTTCACATCTTCTAAAAAAAAAAAAAGATGATGATGAAATTGAAGAGAGATCTGAAGACTGTTGAGTATTTGCTAATAATTACTATGTACTGCATATTTTTTATGCCACTAACTCATCTATATAAGGTGTGATACCACAGGTGCCCCCTGTTATAGTCATGGTTATGTTTTGGTGTCCATAGTGACCATCTGTGCTCCTCAAGAGGATTTGGTGTCACAGCACCAAAAAACATCCCTTCCCCTCTTATCCTTACACAGCTTAGCATCACACGCTGATGGAAAAATAACAGAAGACATAAAGACTGTGTTAACGTGATATAAAGAAGCAAGAAGTCTTACCTGTAGCCATCAGGTGTGTTGTTGCACTAAGCCTCTGGTCTGTTGTCATGATGTCAAAACTCCACAGGTTAAGCGATATGATGAGGAAAAGGTGGAGCTTATGTAAATGAGACAGAAGACAGAAGGGTTATTATATCTGAGGTTTACCATGGCTGTATGTTTAGAATACTGAGTGGTGTAAGAGTTTATTTTGCATGCGTGTTGCTTACGTTTCATCTGAAAATGTGTAATTCCAGGCTTGAATTCCTCTGGGACATTTTCATTGTACTGTATAAACAACAACTAGTAGGTTTCTGCACATCTCAAAGGTTTAATAGAAGAAAGTTATGAAGTGTGTAAAACATACATGAATAAAACATTATACAGTAAAACAACAAGCTTGACAAGGCTATTCTGTATGAATTATGGAGGACCAAACCTGCAAATATAATAATAATAATAAAAATGATAAAAGCAAAAACTGAAATAAAATAAATTAAGTAGAAAAAAATAATACATTATTAATATGATACAAAAAATATATATTAAAAAATTATTCAATTGAACTTTCTATTGTAACTTCTTTTTTTTTTAAAGAGCCTCTTACACTGGCATTCTCTATTCTTTTTATATTCTATCTATCTATCTATTCTTGTTTTCTTTTTATTTATTATAAAAAAACAAGCCTCTAGCACTAGTATTCTCTTTTCTTTTTCTATTCTTTTGACTTGTTTTAATTTTATTTAAAAAAAAGTCCCTCTAACACTAGATTAACCGGCTAACCGAGCCTTGTCACAGCACTCTTTTGTTGTTTTTGATTGCTTCCA